TGAAATGAAACATATCCAATCATAATAAATATAAACATAATTTATTGCCGATTTTCGGCAAGTTGTGCTAAAGTGCCGTGTTTCTTATCAGTTTTCATTGCATATTACTTAAGACATAAAACTAGGCATCTATCAAATGATATTTATGGGGGTTTCATTTGTAACGGCGGACGGCGAACGATGACGGCGTCGACGAAACACGAGATAGCAACGGATTGGCAATTTGCATAAATCTTTTTAAACGAGGTAACGAAATGAACCTCCGCTCGTAGTGATCATGTTTCACATGAAGCAGTTATCGTTTTTTGGTTTCGGCATTCGAAAAAAATATGTATTGCAAATACGAATACTATTTTCGTAATAATTTCAAAATTTACAGTATGGTAAGGAAAGAGGGAAGAGATTTATTATTATTTTTTTTTTAATAAAATGCCAAGGGTTTGTAAAGTTCAGAATCTTAGGGAACCACACTGGATAAAGAAGTAAAAGTATGGATCTAAAAAAAAGATTTTCTCTGAATGATTTTAATTGTATCTGACCTTATCTAAATGTTGGGCCTTTTTATACCATCCATACTATCGTGGAAGTTTGTTATTCCGTTTGTAACACCTTGAAATATACATTTTAGACCCACAAAGTATATATATTCTTGATCAGCATAAAATTGTATGTCGATTTAACGATGTCCGTCTATTCGTCTGTGGAAATTACTATAGCTTCCGAACGAGTTGAAGTAGATTGATAAAATTTTACTCAAATGTATAGTATGTCTGCAGGACTTTTGGTAATGGGCCATATAGGTCCACGTTTTAGTATAGCCCTTATATAACGCTACCTCCCGATATTCGGTATTTTGGTGATTTTAGCGACAATATTTATGAGAGTCCTTTCAAATTTGGTATTTGATGTTCGTAATAAGTGCTACAGCGTAAGACAGAAATTTGTCTGTGCAGGTCCACGTCTTCATATAGCCCCCATATAAGGGTACCTCCCGATATTTGGTATTTTGATGATTTTAGCGACATTAACCACCGTAATTCTTTCAAATTTGGTATTTGAATTTCGCAATGAATACTACAGCCTAAGGCAGAAAATCGTTTGTGCAAGTCCATGTCTTCATATGGTCCCCGTATAACGGTACCTCCCGATATTCGCTATTTTGATGACTTTAGCTACATTATTCACCGATTTTTTCTAAGTTTCGTATTTGAATATTTTAATGGCTTATGACAAAAGTTACCTATGCAGGTCCATGTCGTCGTATTGACCCTAATATGACAGCTACATTTGGTATTTTTTAAGATTTTAAGAGAATTTTAACGAATATTATTTTTTTTTTTTGTTGAGAATTACCAAATTTGTTCCAAATGGTGGTGGGTATTCAAAGTTCGGTCCGGCCGAATTTACAGATTTTTACTTGTTTTCATGATCCTTGTTCATATTTAAGCCTAAATTTGTATGTCATTATTCCAGCCTTCTCCCTCCCACTCACATTTTCTACCATCCAATATATCCACCTTTCAGACCACTGTGAAAACATAATCTAACGCCTTTGGCTGGTTTGAAGAAAAAACACCTTTTTTTCAAATTAAATGAAGTGCGTCCATAACAGCTTCGAACAAAAAAGAAAATCTACCGCTTTACCATTTGCATACCACACGCTCCGCACGGTGGCATGTACAGATAACAGCACCACCTATGCAGTACTTAGTTTTAACTGCATTTGTTTTCTAATTCTTTTAAAGTTCCAAAATTTATGAGTTTTATGGTGATTTTGTTTAGTTTGTAGCAAAAATTTCATAATTTCAGTAGTTTTATGGGCCATGTTTTTGTTGCTCAGATTTTTGTGGCCATTTAAAGCAAAACAAATTATTGAAATTATGATTTAAACAATTTTCGGTGCTTATGTTTAAATACATAGTTTTTCTTACGTGGGGGCAATAAAAATCGTTGCACATTTCATGTAGGCAATTTATATTATCTCCATAAATTTTTGGCTTAAACTTCATTGGTTTTCGGGGAGATTCGATGTGAACATGCAATGGTGTTTCTTTATTGATTACAACATTTTTGAAATTAAGTGCACAAATTAAAAAAAAAAAAAAATATTATTTTGACCCAAAGCCATTTTGTTCAAATAACACTTCTACAAATCACTTTCAAAGGCTTTAATTTTAATAACATACAATATTCGAAAATTTGTTTTCATGCGATAAAGTAACGACAAAATGCATTTTTTTTCAATAATTAAAGGCATTTTTTTCAATAACTATCGGGAAACTCCAGCAGATAATGAAAGTAGGGCTAAAAATTTAAGACACGTTTTCGGCGTTTTCATAGGTTAAATCGCAATTTAACCTAAATAGAGAGGGCCAATTACCCTCTACGATATTTTTTGAAATGTTCGGATTAATATTCCTTGGAATCCGATGATTTTATGTACATAATGTCTTTGCAAATATTGCAGAAAACAACACAAAAATTATTTTGGTCTTAAAAAATTAAACCTCAAGCTAAGGGGTCTTTTTGGCCTTTTTTTGAAAATATGAAAAAAACTCTCTTTAAACGGGTTAGTAGCAAGACAAAACATTCCAGAAAACTATCTGTCATAAAATTCTACTATAGGTCCTAGAATACGTCAATCTTCTAAATGTTACCTAAACGCCAGGAAATCATATACAGGGTGAGATAAAAAAAAACTGCAACAAAGTCGAACGCCATAATTTTTACATTTTCTTTTAAATTTTATTTACATTTAATTAAATGTCGGAAATAGCATCAAATTTTAGAATAAGTTTAGATTTGTTCGAACTGACCACCTTTAGCACGAATTATGGCCTTCAAACGGCCAATGAAACCGTCACATGCTGTCCAAATGTTGCTCTGCGGTGTTTTGGACCACTCCCGGCGAAGCTCTTGCTTGAGTATGATCGACACTTTGTTGGTATTTGTTAGTGCCAACCTTGCTTTCCACAATTCAGACACAATAGTCCAACGGATTGGTATCCGGAGTTTTTGGTGGCCATTGTGCGCTGAAAATGAAGCGAGAAACCTCATTTTGTAACTATTCTTGGGTGGTACGAGCTGAGTGCGATGGTGCTGAGTCCTGTTGTAATGTCCAAGGTCTGCGGCCAAAATGTTTGCGTGCTCAAGGCTTTAATACACCCACCAGAATATTTTCGCTATAATATTCGGCTTTTACTTTGATGAAGCGGTCGTTTAATACGAGCGGAGAGCGATCATCGGCTGTTATGGCGGCCCACACCATCACCATGGCCGCCGCTTGAGTTCTGGTGGCCAACCGAAGGTGCACATTTTCAGCTGAGCTCTTTTGCAAGAAAACGCGATCATTTTGTTTGTTTAAAAACTGCTGGACAACAAATATTTTCTCATCGGAGAAAACTAAATTCGGCAGTTCACCACTTTCGGCCAAGCGAAGCAACTTTTTAGCTCTTGTGATTCTATTTTCTTTCTGTTGCGGTGTAAGTTCTTGCACTTTTTGGAATTTCAATGGCTCTAACCCGAGCTCGTTTTTAAATATTTGCCGAATGGAATATTGCGATATGTTCAGCTCATGAGCCCCTTTTCTGCTCACGAGCCAACATCTGCTGATGTTGCTGTTTTCTTCCGTCCACTTTAATGCTGGAGTGCTCTAACGATAGACACTTTTGGTTTTCCAGCCAAATATAAAGAACTATTACTATCACGCTTGCACGCTTTAGTGGAAAATTCTCACCAAAACGCATTTGTACGCTTGTAAACAATATAATGAGCTGTCACTGGAATAATTTTAACAGCTGTCGAACGATTTGCTTAAAAATGACAACAGTCTAAAGTTGGTTGCAGTTTTTTCATCTCAACCTGCATATGATAATTTTCCGAAAATATTGAAATTTGCCTGAGGTACAGCATATAGTGGACCGAAGTATTCCATTTTAATACTTCATCTAATACAGATAAAATTATTGCTATGGACAAAATTACAGGAAAACCGATCATTTATATCTAATTTTATGCGAAATCATGAATTTCATATCCATCTCAGGTTTTTGGATAAGGGAAATATTTAAATATAACAAGTTGTAAAGAATCTCTGACTTTTTTCGCAAGTTATGACAGATAAAAGTTTTAAAAATGGAGACCCCTTTGTGGTGAGGTACCAGAAGGGGTTCGTAGGCACTTATCGTCTTCACAACCGATTTTGTGTTAGCAAAATCACCCGATTTTGTTCTAACTTTGCAAATCCTAATATTTGTATCAGTTTCATGTCAAGTGTGAAAATGGACAATATTGGCCCGCTCCTTCAAATACCTCCCCCACAAAGGGTCTATATCCTGAATAATCATAATATATGAAATGTGAATTACGACTTGGATTGATTTAAAATTTAGCATATCCTTATATTTTTATCAACACAAGATCTTTGGTATAAAGCGTCAAAATTTTGAATACCTTTAAAGTTCGTAAAATGCGAAATAAACATCGAATTCTTTTCAAATTTCCCTGATTAAAATAAATCTACAAACACAAGATCTGGTTGCAAAATAGGATTTTTAATAATCATAATCCAAGTAAAAATATATTTTTTTATAAATGGACATAGGCTAAGGTCGGCAAAACCAACTGATACTTATTAACTTGTTTTTTTCTTTTTTTTTTTTTTGTTTGCAGCGAGTAGATTAGAGCCCCTGACTTTCTGTTCTAACTTTAGTTTTTGATAATTACTATCTAAACTACTTGTCATTTTTAGTATTGGTGAAAGTGGCAAGCATGATTCGCAAAATTTTGCCTGGGAAAAATTCTCAAGCTGACATAAATTTTCAAGTGCTGTCATGTGTGTCGAAAAAAAAAAACTGAGAAATATTTTTTCTTAAAAATTATCACAAATCTATAACAAAAGTTCTGTGGTAGAAATTTATAATCGCCTTATGAACTCGTATATAATTTCTTATTTCAATTTATCATACAATGTTAATATTTCACTTATTTTTCCTTTTCAGAATGGCTTTGTTAAATGCGAAGACAGATGTCCACCCATAGATGATTGCTATTTGTTGGAAAAGAAATCCTCGGATGCCTGCTGCAATAAATGTAAAGGTAAGGAAATCATTATTATTTATTTTAAGAAAAAATTAATTTCAATTCGAAAAGATGTGTACAGGGTGAGATGAAAAAAAAACTGCAACTAACTTCAGACTGCTGTCATTTCCAAGCCCCTCGTCCGACAGCTGTTAAAATTATTCCAGTGACAGCACATTATATTGTTTACAAGCGTACAAAGCATTTTGGTGAGAATTTTTCAGAAAAAAAGTTATTCGTGATGGAATGTGAATAATCTTTTGTGTCTCGTACCATCGGTCAGGTGATTCAGGTAGCGGAAGTAACATCCGCAGAAATGGTTCGAAAAGTAAAGAAGCGACTTGATCGAAACCCGCGTCGCAGTGGCTGAAAAACAGCTCGTGAGCTGAACATATCGTAAATGGAATATTACGATATGTTCAGCACACGAGCCATTTTTCGGCCACTGCGACGCGGGTTTCGATCAAGTAGCTTTCGATCAAGTCGCTTCTACGGCAAACATTGAAAAAATTTAGTTCGGGGTAAAAGTATTGAAACTCCCAAAAGTGCAAGAACTTACACCGCCGCAGAAAGAAAAAAGACTCAAACGTACTAAAGATTTGCTTCGCTTGGCCGAAAGTGGTAAACTGCCGAATTTGGTTTTCTGCGATGAGAAAACATTCCTTGTCCAACAGTTTATAAACAAACAAAATGATCCTGTTTACATGCCGAAGAGGTCAGCTAAGAATGTGCACCAGAACTCAAGCGCCGGCCATGGTGATGGTGTGGGCCACCATAACAGCCAATGGTCGTTCTCCGCTCGTATTAATCGAACGTTGCATCAGAATAAATGTCGAATATTATCGCAAAAATATTCTGAAGGGTGTATTAAAGCCTTGGGCATACAAACAGGACTCAGCACCATCGCACTCAGCACGCGCCACCCAAGAATGATTACGAAATGAGGTTCCTCGCTTCATTCCCAGCTCATAATGGCGAAAGTATCGATCAGCTCAAGCAAGCGCTTCTCCGGGAAGGGGCCAAAATACAGCAGAGTAATATTCGGGCAGCGTACGATGGTTTCATTGGCGTTGGAAGGCCATAAATAAGACCAATTCGAACAAATCTAAACTTTTTCGAAAATTTGATGCCGTCATTTTTTTGCTTTCATTCAATAAAATCCTAAAAAAACAGTAAAGAAAGTCTTAAAGTCGGGCGGGGCCGACTTTATGATACCCCTTACCACTTTGCTAATTTAGCAGAGCTCCACATAACAATTAAAAGTTTTTATGGGAGAATTCAATCAAACACGCTTTGATTCTAATTATAATTTAAAATTCAAAGGACTAAATATGCCGAAGCATTTGTATCTTTTAAATTCGGACTTGTAATGCCCATTTGGTGCACAATTAAATGATAAAGATATATATGGGAGCTATATCCAAATCGGAACCGATCTCGATAAAATTCGGCAAAGATATTTCTGAGCTGTATTTGATATATTCTTACAGAGGGCATATTACGGCTGTGGGGAACAAATATAACAAATCGGATGAACAATATATATAGGAGCTATAGCTATATCTGAACCGATCTTCACCAAATTCGGCATACTACCTTCCAGACTCAGTTCGGTCGTATGTGCCAAATTCCATCCCATTTGGGCAAATATTAGACGTTTGATGTACAATGAAATGTAAATCGGACGAAGTTATATATGGGAGCTATATCCAAATCTGAACCGATCTCGATAAAATTTAGCAAAGGTGTTTTTGAGCTTCATTTGATATATTTCCCTAAATATTGTTGTTAAAGAGTGCATATTACGGCTGCGGATGACAAAAATAACAAATCGGATGAACAATATATATGGGAGCTATAGCTATATCTGAACCGATTTCGATCAAATTTATTTTCAGGCCTAATTTGGTTGTATGTGAAAAATTCCATACTATTCGGGCTGATATTACACGTTTGGTGCACAATAAAAGCAAATCGGACGAAGATATATATGGGAGCTATATCTAAATTTTGACCGATTATTAAATATTATGGAGTTTGACTTTGTTGTAGCTTTTTTATCTCACCCTGTATTTATTATTTGAGCTTACAGGGCAGAGCAAGAGTGAGGTTTTTTTAGAAACAACAACATTAGCACTAATAAATAATCCTCAACTAAGATTTGTTTTACAGAGAAAATCGTTACTAAGTTACTAAATTGTTGCTTTAGATAAATATCTGTTCTTTTTACCGAGCGCATTTTTATACCCTCCACCTTGGAAAGGAGGGTATATTAACTTTGTCATTCCGTTTGTAACATCCTTAAATATTCGTCTTAGACCCCATAAAGTATATATATTCATAATCAGCATAAAATTCTAAGTCGATTTAACGATGTCCGTCTGTCTGTCTGTCTGTTGAAATCACGATACAGCCCACATTATTTGACGTAGAGGGCCAAAATTTAGCAGAGCTATTTGCATTGTGTCTAGGATGGTTGGTATTGAAAATGAGATATATCGGTCCACGTTCTGGTATAGTCCATATAACGGTACCTTCCGATATTCGGTATTTTGATGATTTATGCCACATTTTTTCACGGATTTGTCTGAAAATTGGTATTTGTAGGTCATAACGGGTCCCTGAGCGTGTGGCAAAACATTGCATGTATAGGTCCACGTTGTGGTATAGCCCCCATATAAAGGTACCTCCCGATATTCGGTATTTTATTTTTTTTTTTGCCACATTTTTTCACGGATTTGTCTGAAAATTGGTATTTGTTGGTCATAATGGGTTCCAGCTTCGGTGGCGAAACATTGCATGCATGGGTTCATGATTTGGTATAGCCCCCATATAACGGTACCTCCCGATATTCGGTATTTTGATAGTTTTTGCCACATTTGTTCACTGATTTGTCTAAAAATTGGTATTTGTGGGTCATATTGGGTTCTAGTTCGTGTGGCAAGACATTGTAATTATAGGTCCACCTTTTGGTGTAGCCCCCATATAACGGTACCTCCCGATATTCGGAATTTTAATGGTTTTTGCCACATTTCTTCTAATGTTTCTTTTAACCTAAGGTGGAGGGTACTAAAAGTTTGGCCCGGCCGAAATTAATGTTTTTTTACTTGTTCTTTAGAAAGAAATGAACATCAGTAACTAAGGACCGTGTTGTAGTGCAACTATTATAATTTTCATTATTTTCGTTTTCAATTTTAGGTTGCATGTTCCTTGGAAAGGCATATCCGAGTGGTGCTGAATGGACTGATCCCATGAATCCTTGTAAGTCATACAAATGTGTTGGCAGTGTTGTGACCGCAACAGAAATGAAATGCTATACCCAGTGTGACGACAGTCAGTTGATGAAACCAAGACCGGGCGAATGTTGTCCATCATGTCAAGGTGAGTTAAATATTACAAAAAAACAAAAATCGAAATATTTTTACGAATATTAAAAAGTGTTTTTAATAGAATTAAGTACTTGGTCTGTTCTAGAACCTGAAAGAATTTAATAACCAATTTCTACTTCACAGTATCGACAAAAATAAAAACTATACAATTCATGCAGATTTAGAAACGGAGTGATTGGTTACAAAATAATTATCAAAAAAAAAAAAAAAAAACAAATCCTAACATTGTTAACATGGTTATTAACTTAATGAGTGTATTAAACAATTTGTTGTCCTTGTTTTTCATGTCTGAGAAACACAAGTTGCTTTTAAGAAGACCGAAAACATATTTGTTTTTGTGACTTTTTTTCTGGATAAACATACAATCACAAATAACAATGTTTTGTGAAATTATTGTTTAAAACAAAAAATCCGAGGCAATGTCTTGCATAAACAAATTTCCGAAACATTTCAATTATTCCTTCCTTCCTTACCTCCCATTCATGGTCATGTTCTTGCAATTCAAACACCAACCGGCAAATAAAATTTGTGTGGTCTTTTTTCTGATATTTTGTGCTGATTTCGTTTATTGTGGTTTTGAACTACCGAAAATTAAACAAAACAAAACATAAAAAAAAAAAACAAAGAACATTGAAAACGTGATTTCACCATTGAAATGAATGTTTGATGTTACAATGATGCGCTACACTGTGTATGGGGGGTAAGTTTGCTACAACATGACATATAAGGAATAAGAAGAAAACATTGAATTCGGGTTTTTTTTAAAGAGATTCAGAGAATTTTTCATCTCAGAAAACTTAAGTCGGATTTATTCAATTAAAAATTTACACCTCAGGTCTGATTTTTTTTTTCTTAAAAAATTAAAACTTGACTCAACTATCTTTGGTCGGATTTATCCTAATTGAGGTCCAATCTTTTTCTATGGCAAAATCAAACCTCAGTGAAAAGAAGTAATTTTTTTTCCTATAGAAAAAAATTCACCTCGGCTAAATGAGGTTCGATTTTTTTCCTATTGAAATAGAAAAAAAATTCACCTCAGCTAAATGAGGTTCGATTTTTTTCCTATTGAAATAGAAAAAAAATTCACCTCAGCTAATTGAGGTTCGATTTTTTTCCTATAGAAAAAAATTCACCTCAGCCAACTGAGGTTCGATTATTTTCCTATAGAAAAAATTCACCTCAGCCAACTGAGGTTAGATTTTTTCCTATAGAAAAAAATTCACCTCAGCCAACTGAGGTTAGATTTTTTTCTGTAGAAAAAAATCAGACCTCAGCCAACTGAGGACAGATTTTTTTTTCTGTAGAAAAAAATCAGACCTCAGCCAACTGAGGTCAGATTTTTTTTCTGTAGAAAAAAATCAGACCTCAGCCAACTGAGGTCAGATTTTTTTTCTATAGAAAAAATTCACCTCTGCTAACTGAGGTTCGATTTTTTTCCTTTAGAAAAAAAATTCACCTCAGCTAAGTGAGGTCTGATTTTTTTCTATAGAAAAAAATTCACCTCAGCTAAGTGAGGTCTGATTTTTTTCTTTAGAAAAAAATTCACCTCTGCTAAGTGAGGTCTGATTTTTTTCTATAGAAAAAAATTCACCTCTGCTAAGTGAGGTCTGATTGTTTTCTAAAGAAAAAAATTTACCTCAGCTTACTGAGATCTGATTTTTTTTTCTTATAGAAAAAAAATATTCACCTCAGCTTACTGAGGTCTGATTTTTTTTCTTATAGAAAAAAATTCACCTCAGCGAACTGAGGTCTGATTTTTTTCTATAGAAAAAAATGCACCTCAGCTAACTGAGGTTCGATTTTTTTCCTATAGAAAAAAATGCACTTCAGCTAACTGAGGTTCGATTTTTTTCCTATAGAAAAAAAATGCACCTCAGCTAACTGAGGTTCGATTTTTTTCCTATAGAAAAAAAATGCACCTCAGCTAACTGAGGTTCGATTTTTTTCCTATAGAAAAAAAATGCACCTCAGCTAACTGAGGTTCGATTTTTTTCCTATAGAAAAAAAAATGCACCTCAGCTAACTGAGGTTCGATTTTTTTCCTATAAAAAAAAATGCACCTCAGCTAACTGAGGTTCGATTTTGCACCCCAGCTAACTGAGGTTCGATTTTTTTCCTATAGAAAAAAATGCACCTCAGCTAACTGAGGTTCGATTTTTTTTCCTATAGAAAAAAATGCACCTCAGCTAACTGAGGTTCGATTTTTTTCCTATAGAAAAAAATGCACCTCAGCTAACTGAGGTTCGATTTTTTTCCTATAGAAAAAAATGCACCTCAGCTAACAGAGGATCGATTTTTTTCCTAAAGAAAAAAATTCACCTCAGCTAACTGAGGTTCTATATAGAAATATATTCGCCTCAGCCAACTGAGGTCCAATTTTTTCCAAAAGAAAAATTTCACCTCAGCTTACTGAGGTCTGATTTTTTTCTATAGAAAAAAAAAATTCACCTCGGCTTACTGAGGTCTGATTTTTTTCTATAGAAAAAAAAATCACCTCAGCTTACTGAGGTCTGATTTTTTTTCTATAGAAAAGAATTCACCTCAGCTTACTGAGGTCTGATTAATTATTACCTCACCTAACAGCTAAGCGAAGTTAGCTGAGATGATTTTTTCTATAGTATCTCAGTATTTAAGTACCTCAGTATCTGGGCTTCTGATTTGTAGCTCACCTTTGAGTCGACTAATTGGCATTTTGCCCCTCGACATTCTTTCGAAATGTTCTCACTAGAATTGCCTTGTTCTACCCGCTTAAATGGTCATAATTAACTCACAAAAAGAAACATGTTTTAGCATGTCCACAATCGTTGGAATTTCTTGATGATTCTGCAGTTGTTTTGTTTATTCCAGAAGTCCGACTGTGTTTTGAAATAATTTTCATTCAATTCCGCTCTTCTCTTTCATCTGTAGGTTGCAAAATAAATGGACAAATCGTTTTGGAAGGCCAAGAGGTTGTCGCCTCAATCGATGATCGTTGTTTGGTTTGTCAATGTAAGGATAATCAGCTAACCTGTGCCAAGAAAACATGCCCAGTTTTGCAGTGTCCCGTGTCGAAGCAGAAACTCCTGCCCAACGAATGCTGTCCCAGGTGTACGGAGCACAGGGAGTTTATGCCGTTGACGGGTGAGTTGAAGGCTTTTGGAATAATTCGAATAGTTTTTGATTTAATTTGTAACATTTCATTTGTAATTCGAACAATTTCAGTTGAAATTCGAATGATTCTATTTGTATTTCGAATGATTCCATTTGTTGTTCGAAATACAACATTGGTAATTCGAATTATTCTACTTGTATTTCGAATGATTCCATTTGTATTTCGAATTATTCCATTTGTAATTCGAATTATTCCAATTCTAATTTGAATTATTTAAATTTTTTTCGATTTTTAATTAGAACAATTCGATTTACAATTGGTATAATTCGAATTACAAATGCAAAAAGTCGAATTACATTTTTCTCGAATAACATCTGAAATAATTCGAATTCCAATTCGAATTAAAATTGGAAATCTCAAATTAGAATTAAAATATTTCGATTTAATATTTGTAGTTTATTGAAATATTCAAATTGGAAATAATTCTCATTGACTTTGTATTTTCTTGTGTCTCCCCTTTCTTCCACCTCCCTTTCAGGCAAGTGCATTTTTACGAACAAAATCTTCCATGATAAAATCCAATTTATGCCCGATCGCTGCACCAACTGCACCTGTAGCAATGGCACGAGCATTTGTGAGCGCAAGACATGCCCCATTTTAGAATGTTCTCCGGAATATCAGGAAATGGATGGATGTTGTCCACGCTGCATTACCTCCGAGGTACGCTCCGAGTGCATTGTAAATGGCATCACTTATCAAACGAATGACACCTGGAATGTGGATACCTGCAGGTCCTGTCGCTGTACGGGTGGAAATATACGCTGCTCCGAAATGCGTTGTCCGCCAGTGAAATGTCGCTCAAATGAAGAGTTGAAGGTCCTGCCGGGAGAATGTTGCCCCAAATGCATTGAAACTGCCGGCACCTGTACCGTCTTCGGGGATCCCCATTTCAAGACATTCGATGGGAAATTTTTCAGTTTCCAAGGTTCCTGTAAATATCTGCTGGCTTCAGATTGTTATGACAAGACATTTTCCATACGCCTCACCAATGATGGGCGGCAAACCAAGCGTTCTGCATGGGCGAAGACGGTGACATTGAAAATGCGTGGAATTCGTGTCAATTTGGGCCAAAAGCAGAGGGTGAAGGTGAATGGAACCCGTGTCGCCCTGCCATATGCCTCGGGACCCATTTCGAGCATAGAAAAACTAAGCGAAAGTATTATGTTGAAAACCGATTTGGGTCTGAGCATTGAGTGGGATGGCAATAACTATTTACAGGTCACTGTGCCCTCCAGTTTCAAGAATCGCATGTGTGGTCTGTGTGGCAACTACAACGGTTGGACCCGTGACGATCTGACCAGCCGCGATGGCGTCAATCACACCGAGGTCTGGCGTTTTGCCAACTCTTGGAAGGTGGGCGGTCCCAAGGCCTGCTCGCGCAAACAGGAAAACATTGCCGTCGAACCGACCTGTAAACAACGTAAATCGAATGCCCTCTGTCGGCCGCTACGAGTATCCGAAGTGTTTGGCAACTGTGACAGCACCGTAAATCCGGAAAATTATCACGACGCCTGTAAAATGGATGTGTGTGACTGTCCGACTGGTATGTGTCACTGCGATAGCTTTACGGCCTATGCCCGTGAGTGCCAAAGGCTGGGAGTACGGCTGCCTGATTGGCGTTCCGCCACCGCCTGTCCACACGGCCAATGGAAACGTGAATTTAATACCACCCTAAAGATGCTGCGCAATAATCCCTATTATGGTGATTTGCGATTTTTACAAAATCAACAGAAACAGAAAAATCGCAAACATAAATTCGAGGAGCAGCATCAACACAATCAGCTGCTGCAGCGGGACTTCATAAATAAACATGTTCCGAAAAATTTGTTAATTTCCAAATCACCGGATCGTACTCCGCCACCTTTGCATTAGACGGCAAGCTATAAACAGAAATGAGTATATATGTAGTTGGGATGTGCAACAACAACAACAACGACAAAGTGTCTAAGAAAAAGTAAAAAGTAACGGTTTTGTAAACTATTTTCTATTTCCGTATATAAATAGGCTATAGGATTCATTTGTTTTGTTTGGCTTTTATGATTCGAACAATAGTTTTGGATATTTTTTATGAAAGAGAAAAATATTAATAATATAAAAATATTAAAAATTATATAAAAAAATATCGAGAGAGCAAGGCTTCGATTGGGCGCCACATCCAGAAAATGTATTAAAATCCAAGTTTCTTGTTAGTTTTTATGATCTGAGTAATATTAGTTTTGGATATTTTTTATAAAAGAGAAAAATATTTATAAAATAAAAATACTAATAATATTATAAAAATATATAAATTGAGAAAGCAGGGCTTTGGTTGGGCGCCAGATCCAGTAAAATCATTAAAATCCGATTTTTTTATTAGCTGTTAGGATATGAGCAATAATATCTATGGATATTTCTTTATAAAAAGAAAAATATGAATAATATGAAAATACTAATAATAATATAAAAAAGCATTAAGAGAGCAAGGCTTTGGTTGGGCGCCAGTTGCAAAAAATGTAACAAATACCCGAATTTCTTATGATTTCCCAAAAGAAAATCTGATTTCAAATTGGATAACCATTATTTTAATTAAGACATATCTCTCAAAATAAATAGATGGGGGATAAAAATGTTTTCGAGTGACATTATCTTGTTATAAAAATAATGGGTTAGTAATTTGATTTGTAATGAGTATTTTTGCGGGGATGGGTAATGGAAATATATGTAAAACTTGATGCGACCCTCTTCCGAAAAAGGGTTATATTCCTTTTATCGTATAAATATATATCTGTGTCATAATTCCGTGCCGGGTATGGTTAAGATAATGGAATAAAATCTCTTTGAGGTTTACACTTCTCTCTCACTCTCTCTCGCTCCCAATCTCAGTTTTAATAGAAACTAAAATAAAATAGAAAATTACAATTTTTTTTTCTTAGGAGTGGTCTCAGAAATATCCTTCGCCTAGGAGAAAACAAATTCAAAAGTCACAGTCTTTTCTAGAGGCAGATGCCGTGGCAGAGATAAATATATGACGTCTCCTTAAAGACCTAATCTCTTTTTCACTTCTGTAATTTTTTTCTCTACAAAAAAAATAGTTCTTTTCCAATTATTGCTCGTAAAAGCCTTAGGCATATATAAATAAAGATGTAGACTAAAAAATTGTCTCTTCGGCTACGTTAAAAAAAGTGCTGGATGTCGGGAAATATAAAAATCCAACAACTCAAATAATAGAAAAATGAATAAATTATTTTGGAAGTCGAGTTACTTACTCACCCTGTGTGACTTTACTGGCCCATAATCAACCTTGGCGGTTTTATCCATACCTTGGTGGGGTCTTAGAAAATGTCTTCCTCTCGAACAGAAAACAGACAAAGTCCAGAGTATACGAGGAAAAAGATGCAGAGATCATGACTGAGATGAAAGCCTTGCGTGTGGGAGCTCGTTACTTTGGCTCACTATTGCTCTCTAACTCTCTCCCTCCATCTCTTCTCTTTCTACTTTAAAAACATATACGTTATGTTCCCAAAATACATTTTTGCTCTCTTGAAAATTTTTGGGGCCAAAAGAAAAGAGAAGGGCTAAGAGAAAAGGAATGATTATCGGAATGATCGGAATCATTGTTGACATAATTGTATATCTACTAGCCCCTCACTGTTTTAAAACTCCAACACTTAATGGCCATAAAACAAATGAATTCTTTTACGAAAAGCATATTGCTTTTGTTGTAAATTATTATTATTATTATTTTTTTTTTTTTTTTTTTTTTGTAATTACTAGATTTTTAAGTTCGAATTTCAATCTAAGTTTTATATATATATTTTTTTAACATTGAAATTAGCAATCATTTTTTTAGTTTTGTATGTGACTGTTAATTGTTTTTTGTAGAATGAGAAAAACTCTTGCAGTTTCCTTTCAAACCTGGCTGGCCTAGTTTTGAAACTACAACCTTGGAAAATTTTATTTTCAAAATTTCAAATAAAAGTAAAAATCGCAGAATTTCGAGAAAATCAATCACTAATATCACATTTTATGAACGTATTATTATTATATAGTGTTGACCTCTTGTGGGAGAGGTACTAGAATGTTTTGAAAAATAAGTCATTTTATGGGGGCGATACAACACTAAGTGGACTTTTCAAGAGATGTTAATTTTTTCGTGTTTTTTTTAGTGTTTTTTAATTTTTAAAAATGTAACCCTTTGTGAGACCTACCGGAAGGAATCGACTGGTGTTGTTTTAAGCACCTGGTCTTTGTGGGAAACCCGGAAAGTGACCCACGTCTGACTTGAATCAAATCTCCAAAATTTAGATTTATTTTTGTTTCAAAATTATAAGCTTTCGTAGGGAAGCTTGTATGGTCGAACTGGACCTAATAAATGATTATGATGTGCAAAGTTGGGTCCAAATCAAACTCTCTCTCTTCCCTCACGGGAACTATACCGTGAGCACCAACTGCACACAGACAATAATGGCTACATGTACTCCAAAAACAACACACAAAATCATTACAACAATTTTTCTACTCATTTTTGTAGAGGGCACAACCAAAACAACGCCGTGCGATTTGAAGAGACGTTGGGCGCCATTTTTATTTGCAATTCAAAAACAAAAAATAAAGAGCTCTTTCTTCCTGGTAGTCTAGAGCCAAAGCTGATGAAGCATCGAAACCCATATTTTACGACAAACAAGGTGGATTAAATACCTATTCGGCTGATTTAGCAGACTTCTTCTTTTATGCTCTCCCAATATTTGTTTACTCTCTGATTACAATGTTCCTGATTATGTGTGCGGAGAGAATTGCGTCCATTGAAGCATAATTTTACATCGCTATGATCAAGATGGTCTTACCATTATATTATAAGACTGTCTGAAAATCCACAAAAGGAGTTTCTTCTGAGTGCTGTACCCTCTGGAAGAATATTGTCTATATAGGTCTACGATATCGTATAACCCACATACAACGGAACCCCCGATATTCGATAATTGTGCGATTTCAGAGACATTATTCACCGGAGTTGTTTCACATTTAGAATTCGTAATGGATGCAACAGCATATGACAAAAAATTGTGTATACAGGCCCATGTCTTCGTATAGCCCACATACAACCGTACCCCCGATATTCGATATTTTGACGATTTTAAAAACATTTTTCACAGGAGTTGTTTCAAATTTCGTATTTAGAGTTCGTAATGGGCACTACAGTCTGTGACAGAAAATTGTCTGTGCAGGTCCAGGTCTTCGTATAAGCCCCATATATCAAAATCTCCCTATATTCGGTATTTTGACGATTTTAGGTGCAATATACACCGAAGTTGTTTGAAATTTTGTATTTGAAGTTCCAAAAAGGTACGACAGTCTGTGACAGAGAATTTCGTATTTGAATATTTTAATGGCTTATGACAAAAGTTGCCTATGCAGGTCCACGTCGTGGTATAGACAGATTTCTTTTTCTCCATATTTCTAAATTCGTTTCAAGTGATGAAAGGTATTTAAAGTTCGAACTTGCTGCTTTTTTACTTGTTATAACTAAAACGTGTGTCTATATTCAAAAATATGACTCATTGATTTAACGGTTTTAAAACTAACATATGCTTCATTTCAATCTAGATTTAAACTTAAGTCTATTGGCTCCCCCGTGCTTCAATTTTTTTGATATAGTTCAGATCAACTTCGAACATGACCATATTGGTCCAATTCTTATAAGAATTAAAAATTTCACAAAAACGCAAATTTCGTATGTAACGCTTCGAATGTATTCCTGATTTAAACCAAACTCTCCACACCCTTATGTGGACAATGTCATTTCAATCCAATTGGAAGCAGTCTGCAATCACCGCTAGATTGCAATCTGGATTTTTAAAAACTTTTTCGTGCGATATTTTTTTTTATAATGTATATGGAGTCTGCTATCAAAAAGTGATGCCACTATAGCGTTTTTTATATAAACCATCGTTGCCAAAACCGATTGGTGATGGGTTTAAGTAAGTCAGGCATAATTTGTTCAAATCGACTTAGAATCGTGATATATTTTAACAATTTGAATATACTCCCATATTTTTATTCGAATGTCTTAAAAAATGAAAAGATGTTGAATTTTCACTCAAACATTTATGTATTGAGTTGAAGTTGAAGAAAATTATTTTTTTCCAATATCTCACAACTTTTTGAATATTATTGAAAGAAAAAATAAAACATTCAGAAAAAATTGTAAATATCGCAGTTCATACATTAACAGTCACATACAACCTAATTTTATTATTATTCTTATTATTAGGCAAAACATGAAATAGATCTCAATTAAAATTAAATATTATTATTTTTTTTTTTTTTGTATTTTTCTTTGTGGGAAAATATACAAACGAATTAAAAATCGAATTAAGAGCTCTGCAAAAGGAAAAAAACAAAATAAGAAAAGCTAAATATTTTATAAAAAAAATATATAAATTGTACTTACTCATAAATATTTAACATTATTATTTTTTTTTTTAAACAATTCATATTACAAATAGATTGTGGGCAAATTTTTGAAAATTTCAAACAAAAAAGTACTATGAAATTTGGTGTACATTTAATGGGCTCATTTAAAAAATCGATACCTAGAAGAGTATGCCAAATTTCGCCTCAAGATTTTCATATTGTATTGTTGCAAGTTTTCCGTTTTAGGAAAATTTTCTAACTCAAAATTCCACATTATTTTCCATAATTAAAAATAAAGTCCTAAATACGGCCCACAAGTTTTGAAAATAAACACAATAGTGTCCTTTATAAAAAATGGACTGAATTATAAAGAATTAATACATGCCAATTGACACTTTTCAAAACGAAAACAAAAAAATGAAATACTTAAAAAATATTCACCTCATACGCCTTATTTATTTTCATATAGTATATAAGGAAACAAAAATTAAGAACATACAATTTTATTAAGCTTAAGCATAATTTGAAAAAAAAACAACAACAATTACAACAATTCAAATGCCTTTAAACATTCTTCTCATTGTGGTATATTACGTTCTTTTTTTCATTATATAAATGTCTATTTAATCTTGTCTTAAATAAATAAATACATAAAAATATTTAATATTATATATCCATAATGTTAACACATTTTTCTATTTTAACAATTCTAGTTAGTTAAAAAAAATAATAAAATATTATTCTTATTAAAAATAAATATATATTTAAATTTAAACTTAAAAAAAACGTAGTTTTGTTACATTATTGTTAATTTGCACAAAACAGTATTTTTTGCTTAATTTGTAAATGTGAAATGTATTTTTATTGAAAAATATTAAAATTAAGATTTAGCCAATACAAAAACATATATATGGACATACATATATTAATTATATTATAATAAGTTTATAAAACAACAAACAAAAATAAATTAAAATTTCGAAATGGAAAAAAACTCTTCAATGTTTAATTATTCTATACCTAATAACAGCACAACAACACTATAACTATAGTTAAATATTATTATAAAAATTTAAGCCATACTACTTAAACCTTTTTTTTTATATACAAAAATAAATTTTCTATGTCAATTTGGCTTAATTTATTTCTTCGCCTCTTTTTCCGAACAAAAGTTGAAAACTTTGAAAAAAAAATTAAAAAAAAAAAAAAAAAAAAAAAAAACACTATTAACTTTTGAAAAGAAAATACGTCTCCTCCATATGCTCCATAAATATAAAATTTATTTAAATTTCAAAAAACATATGAAAAAAATGATTTGAAATAAAAACTATTTAAAAACTTTTAAAAAAATGTGTTTTTTCCTTTTTTTCTGTATTAAATGGCTATGGTAAGTTCTAGTGCCTTCTAGGGGGGAGATATTCCTTCAAAAATAAATGTAAAAACATTTCGAATGTTGGTTAGATTGTCCTCCAACTGTTAGAATTTTCCTCAAAAAAAAAAAAAAATAAAGAATTTTAGTTTTATTTAATTCTTTGCCTCATCTTCTATTGAGCTCACGATCTCGTCACTTGGGTAAAAAATGTTTTTTTTTTCATAGATGTTATTTTTTAAAATAAATTCTGGGTAGAATATTCCAGACAAAAAACAAGAGAACTGATGAGGATTGGTGGCTCTTTCCGAAACCTAGGTATTCCCTGCCTTAACCCCTGGTAAACATTACCATCATTCTCCACTAATAAACAAACGTTGTTTTTATAAAAACAACAATAAAGGGATTAAGCCTGACCATTTTGCAAAAACAAAATACTATGGTATCCAGAACAAAAAAGCCAACAATGTTCTAATAAATAAATAAATAAAAATTAATATTCTCCAAAAGACTACAAAAAAAAAACTATAATTTGCTTAAAATAGCTATCTTTATTGACCGCACAGTCAAAACAATTCAATTTAAATACAATTCAAACAATCTCTCGATTATTGGCCAGTTAGCTCTTCGTGAAATATACTTTAACAAGTAAAAAAGCTGTAAGATCGGTCGGGCCGAACTTTGAATACCTACCACCATTTGGAACGAATTTGGCGATTCTCAACGGTAATAAAATCCGTTAAAAATTCTGGTAAAATCTTAAAAATACAGAATGTAGCTATCACATTAGGGTCTATACGACGACATGGACCTGCATAGGTAACATTTGTCTTAAGCCATTACAACATTCAAATGCGAAACTTGAAATAAAAATCTGTTTATAATGTAGCTAAAATCATCAGAATGTTGAATAAAGGAAGGTATCGTGGGGGTTTTAAAACATGAACCTACAAAGACAATTTTCTGCCATAGGCTGTAGTACCCACTACGAATTTCAAATGCGAAATTTGAAACAATTCCGGTTAATAATGTCGCTAAAATCATCAAAATAGCGAATATCGGGAGGTATCGTTATATGGGGTCTATACGAAGACCTGGACCTGCACAGACAATATTCCGTCATAGGCTGTAGTATTCATAACGAACTTCAAATACGAAATTTGGAATAATTCCGGTAAACAGTGTCGCCAAAATCAACAAGGTACCGTTATATGGGGGCTATACCAAAACGTGGATTTGCACAGACAATTTTCCGCATAGGCTGTAGGTTCATGGTTCGAACTTCAAATAACAAAGTCGCTAAAATCGTCAAAATACCGAACACGACCCATTTTCAATGCCAAAAGTCCTGCAGACAGAACATACATTTGAGTAAATTTTGTATCAATCTACTTCAATTCGTTCGGAAGCTAGAGTGATTTCCACAGAAGGATAGACGGACGGACATGGCTAAATCGACATAGAATTTTATGCTGATCAAGAATATATATATTGTGGGGACTTACATGTGTATTTTGAGGTGTCACAAACGGAATGACAAACTTAATATACCCTCCATACTGTGGTGGAGGATATAATAACCGTAATATATATATGTATATATATGTATAGTTACATCCATATTTTAACCGACCTTGACAAAACAGTCAACGGATGCTACAGCCTGTGACAGAAAATTGTTTATGCAGGTTCAGGTTTTCGTATAG